TGGAATGCACCTAATCTTCTCCCTGTTCTCCCACAGCGCTCTCCTCAGACCCATGGCATTCTCTGATTTCAGTATTGTAGATTTTTTTTTTTTTTTTTCCTCATCCCAGTAGACTTGAGTTCCTTGGGGGCAGGGATCCGTGCCTCTTTCATTATTTTGTAAGACCGATGTTCCATTAGCTTCTCACTCTGAATGGAATAAAAGTCCAGGGCTTTTGATGTGCCATAAAGCGGCCCTTCACAGTCTGGCTTCAAACTGTCTTCGTTCTGGTGTCATCTCCTGCCACCATCTGTGCACCCTACACTACAGCCATTTCCACCAGCTTGTGATTTTCTCAGCGTGTTCCCGTTTGGACTGACCACACTTATTCTGTTTACATGCTGCTTTCTTTTGTGAAATGCTGTCGTTGGCAGGGGCTCTGTTTTCTTCAGGATAGCATGTTCTTTTATCAGATTTTTTAAATGTTATATAATACTTCCTGCGTACACAAAAAATAGAGCAATATACCACTCTCTTGTGTATGTATCCAGTGTTACCAAAAGAACATTTTATATCTACTGTATATGTGTCCATATATATATAGAGAGAGAGCGAATACTCATGTGAGAGCTGGACCCCCTTTTTCCTCCTTCCTCAGAGAACAGTGGCTATCCTAAATGTAGGGTTTATCATTTCCATATATATTTGATGTTATTAATATATTTTATCTGTAAATGATTTGTAATATTGTTTTCCATTTTTGAAACATAAAATCACCTTGTTCACATTTTCTAAAGATTCTTGCCTATTTTTTACTCAACATTGTTTTTGAGATTTATTCATATTCATACATGTAGCATTAGGTAATTCTAAATTGCTATGTAGTATTTCCTTGTATAAATATCCCACAGTTTATTTACCCATTCTATTCTTGATTAGTGTTTTGACTGTTTTCATTTTCTTAGTTTGTAATGAACATTCTTATACAAAAAGAAAAACTAGTCTTTTTCAAATTTTAAAAAAGTATTCTAGCAAATAGATCCCAGCTAAGTAAATATTAAGCTAACTTAAAGATCATTTTTATTTTTAAGACTGATTTTTAAAATCAAATTTATCCATTTACATACAAACATATATCTTTATTACTTACTCTAATTAGCATTAAGCTAGGGGGTAAGTACTTTGAATGCAAAGCTTTAAGCAAAAGTTACTCTTTTCACTCAGCAGTTTGCAAGTCATGTCTCATATACATTTTGCCTTAAAAATGTTAAATAAAAGCCAAAATTAGAATGTTTAAATAAAACTTCAAAAGCACTTGCTCTAAGATTTTAGTAAAATGCCTGTTAAATTGTATGATAGTAACAAAGTAAATGTGAATTCTCTGTTTCTCTTTGATAGAGAGCTGAATGTGACCTCAAATGATCTATTCTTACAGAGAATTTCTTAAAGATAGCTAGAAGCACTATCCACAGCTTCCTGAGGTATACCATTTCAACATTTTATGTCCTTAATAGTAAAATTTTCCATTATGCTCAACCAAAATATCTCATGTTTGAATTGAAGCTCACTTCCTTGTTTGGTGTCCTACTAGCAAGCAAAACAGAGTGTTCATACTCGCTTTTAAAATCAATAAACAAACAAACTAGCCTTTCTTCTCCAAAAGAAACAGTTTCAAGTGTTTTTTGCTCTGGTCCCTAGGACTGTTTAATTATTTTCTTAAATTGATGATGAAAGTTACTATCGATCATCTCTGCTGTTCTCTGATAGTGCACTAATAGGGGACACACACACACACACACACACACACACACACACACACATACACGGAATGTGAGAATGAACATCCCAGGTTTGCTGAACTCATGAAGCACCTCTCGAATTCTTATTTTTTCTTCAACTCAGCAAAGTATGCTGCTGTGTTTCACTTGTTCCATTTCTTCTTCCTAACACCAAGAAGCTCACTTCTTTCAGGCGTATTTATTGCTTTTCTTTTTTTGTTTGGGTAGCCAGTTTATGTTTTTGAGTCTTGCCACACCTTGTGCAAGAATTGACTACCCAAAGTTCTTTTGGTCTCAAAAAACTTCTGAAATTCCATTTATTCCAGAAAATACACTGTAACCAATTAGAAGCATATTGCTGATTTCCTTCTGTATGCATTTCCATGTATACCTGTCTTATAAATAATCCCAACTTTTTTACTTTTTTTTTTTTTTTGCATCTCCTGCAAAATAACTTATATACTTGAAAATATGGACCCCATAATGCAGTTCAGTATTATGTTCAGTTATTCTTACTCAGCAGTTTTGCTTCAGGCAATTTATCATAAAGATAGTCTCACTCGGGCATGCTTAAAGTTATTTACAAGGGTGTTCATTTCAATGCTGTTTATAATATAAACGTTTGGAAACAATTGCAGTGAGTGATTAATAATGGACTAAATAAATTATGGTATATCCATATCCTTTGATGTCAAGTAACAGTAAACACTCATGTGTTTGTTGAATGAAGGAAGGAATGTATTATTAGATGGACAAAGTGCAAGGTACAGCATAGTATATATTTCATGGAATAAAAAAGATGGATATATATGTATACAGTATGCATTTGTTTACCTGGATTAATGCGTATAACGTTTCTGGAATCATACACAATAAACTGTTAATATTAGTTATCAGTGGGTCATGGGAATAATGGTGAGTTGAAAATATGGCGTTTACTGTTAACCTTAAAAAGGAAAGATAAAGCAAAACTAAACCTCAAATGGAGAAGACCCAGAAAAATAAAATGATTGGAAAAAAGTGTATGTGCCCTTATGTACTGAATCCTGTTTTCTACTTCTTGTATAGTACCTCCATTCCGATTTTCTTGCTGTCTCCTACTTTTGCCTCTGTGCTTTGCCTTCTATTTGGAAGTGCCTTTTATTCTGTCTTGCACAGATAACTCTTTCTTCTTTCTCAAGACATTGTATAGGGCCTAAGCTGACCTTCATGAAACTTCACTGGAGTATTGCATTTCAGGAGTGTTTCATTTCAAAGAAATCATTCAGATATATCCTCAGCATGTAACCAGTATCATATAATTTCATACTTATTCATTCAGTAATTATTTCATGTAATTATTTTTCTTCCCACCTTATTTAAGTATAAACTTAAATAATGTTCACTGCCTCTCTTATGTTTGTTTTGTACAACATCTAACATTACCAATAAATGTTTAAGGAACTTTTTTCCTTGATGATATTAGTTAAAACTTAATCTAGAAAAACTACTTAGTGGCCCAGTCTTCAACAGATATCCTTTTTAAACCATCTGAAATAATTACAGATTTTCCTAAATTGATATTTAAATAAATATTTTATTTGTAAGGGGATTACTAAATACTATAGTGAAGTTTTGGCATGAAAAAAATACTACGGGCCATACTTCAGATTTTTATGGAAAGTACATGGAATCAGAATTGCCTTTATTTTTAAGCCACCATCTATCCCAAAGAAGAATTCTTTCTTTATTAGATACAATAAATTTAATATTGGGATCATATAATTACATATCTCTAAAGTTCTTTTATTAGGCACGTATGTATTTAGGATTGTTATGTTTTCATGGTAAACTGGCTTTCATCATTATAAAATCTCCCTCTTTAGTAATAATAATATTGTTCTTAAGCCTACTTTGTCTGAAATTAATATGGCCACTCCAATTTCCTTATGATTAATGTTTTTATAGTATGTCTTTTTTGTATCCTTTTGTTAATTTACCTGTATCTTTAAACTTACAAGTGTGTCTCTTCTAAATTGCACATGGTTGGATCTTGCATTTTTATCCAATCTGAAAATCTCTGACGTTTAACTAGGGTGTTTAATGCTTTTATATTTAATGTAAATCAACTGTATTCTTTGAAGATTGTTTGTTTTGCTATATTAAAGAGCCTCTTAGAAGACAGTAATTTGCACTCTAAAGTAAAATAGCCTGACTACTGAAGCATGGCCTTTCTAAGAATTCAACTGAATGTTCATGTTCAATGATTTTTATCTCCTGGCTGGTTAGAGCTCCAGTATCCCTCAGTCTGTTATGGTCCCCAAAAATCTCTGTTTAGTTTACAGCTCCTGGATAGTTGTTTACTGCCACACCTTGTGGAGTCTTGCTCTGCACATTACAGCTTAACATTTATACAAACATTCAAGAAGACCCTTGGATTTCTGGACCTGCTTTCTGGAAATTCTCTCCTCTCTAGTATTCTGCCTTGCAAAATGCAGTTGCCACAGCAGCCTTAAATTCCTCTCTCTGTCTGAGCTCAGCACAACACTGCTGTGTGCTCTTTGGGTCCCACCTTCCTGGACCATAATCTGCAATGTTCCTCGAGACAGAAGCTCACCATTATGGGGCTCATCTTTATATCCCTTTTGTTAGGGATTATAATCCTTTACTTCACATGTTGTATAACATCTGAAAAGAGTTGTGTCTTTTTTTTTTTTTTTTTAGTTAGTGATAGCAGGGGAGTTAGTTCAGTATCAATTAATCTATCACGGCCAGAAGCAGAAATCTTATAGAACATTTCAAGTCATTAGTTTTGAGAAATAAAGCTATAATACAGAACCATAGACTCTGTATGACAGTAGAGATATAATCTTGTCCAACACACTTTTTCAGAAGATGAGAAGATACACAAGCTCAAGTGACTTGTAGTAGATTGCACTATGAGTTAGTCGTAGTCTACATCTCAGGTTTTCTCCACTATTCTTTTCCCTATAGTAATCTTATGAAAAATTCTCCTGTATTTGAAACATAATTTTAAACTGTCATTAAAAAAATTTTTAGAACTCTTATGATTTAAACATCCTCCTCACTCATTTTTTCTTACATAAATAGTATTGTTAATCTTGCTGTTAACACAAGCATGAAGGAAGAATCATTTACAAGTATATTTTAGAATAATTGACGTGCTGTGGAGCTATATAATTCCACAGAAGACATAGAAAACAGTTTTCTTTAATATAATTGGTTTTTTGTTTGTTTTTCCAGTTTATTTTCTTTGCTGTCTAAAAAACACAACAAAGTTCTGGAACAAGCCACACAGTCCTTGAGAGGTTCGCTGAGTTCTAATGATGTTCCTCTACCAGATTATGTAAGTAGTTACCTTATTTCATCAATAAGAACTTTTCCTTTCAGCCAGGCACAGTGGCTCATGCCTGTAATCCCAGCACTTTGGGAGGCCAAGGCAGATGGATCACTTGGTCAGGAGTTCAAGACCAGCCTGGCCAACATGGGGAAACCCCATCTCTACTAAAAATGCAAAAACTAGCTGGGTGTGATGGTGCACACCTGTAGTCCCAGCTACTTAGGAGGCTGAGGCAGGAGAATCACTTGAATCCGGGAGGCAGAGGTTGCAGTGAGCTGAGATCATGCCCCTGCACTCTAGCCTGGGTGACACAGTAAGACTCTGCATCTCAAAAAATAAATAAATAAATTCTTTCATTGTAAAATTTATAATAACATTACCCCCTCTCTTCTCAGAATCTTACTGTGCTGAAAATCTTTGATGCCTGAGAAACCTCTAATATGCAAATAAAAGAGTGATGTCTCAAATCAAGGGAACAAGTTATAAATGATTGTTAACAAGTGATTGAAGAAAATCAACCCTAAACCAATAATTTGTACATAATTAAGAACCTTTATATCTGAGTTGAGAAACCCACTCAAGCTAATAACACAAAAACAAAAGCAGGGATGATTTTATAGGAAGTACGCAAAGATTCCTCACTGAACTTAAGGGGAGCAAGTACACCTGGATTTCCCAGAGATCTGGAACCTAAAATTGAAAAGCCATTGGGTCCTGTTTCGAGGGTCATTTTGTTTCTGGTTTCTGCTTCCTTTTGATTCTACTTTATTCTGCTGCTGCTTTCTACCATCTAGGTTTATCTGTTTGCTTACTTGGACCTAAAATAGCAACCCCAGCCCTTCCTCTTCTTCCCTCCAACCTATAAGCATGTCCTTGTGAGTGCAGTGCCTTTAGCTGTCTTAAAGTCCTCATTCTCAATTCCTGAGAAAGAGAATCTAATTGGCTCTGCTCTCATCAGTATGTGACTCCAGTCTTATCAGACATGGTCAGAAGAGAGCAGCAGTAACATGTGGCCTTTGTTCCATCCACCTTAATGACGAAGAGCTTATTACCAACTGCTACGGTTGAATGTCCCCTCCAAAACTCATGTTGAAACTTAATCCCCAGCGTGGCAGCATTGAGAAGTGGGACCTTGAATAGGTGATTGGAGCCCTTATAAATGGATTAATGAATTCATGGATCAATGGATTAGTGGGTTAATGGATGAATAGGTTAGCATAGGAAGGGAACTGGGGGCTTTATAAGAAGAGGAAGAGAGACTTGAGCTAGCATTTTAGCATACTTAGGCCCCTCACCATGTGATAGATACTCTGCTTCATCTTGGAATGCCACAGAGAGTCCCCACTAGCAAGAAGGTTCTCACCAGATGCATCTCCTTGACCATGGGCTTCCCAGACTCCGTAACTGTACAAATTCATTTTCTTTATAAATTACCTAGTTTCAGGTATTCTGTTCTAACCAACAGAAAATGCACTAAGACATCACCTGACCTTAGAGGATGCTGATGGAATAGAATAGAAACAGCACAGGGGTTAGCATAATATAATAATAGGAAAGAGAATGCATTATAAATTTTCTTAAAGTAGTTTCACTACCTGTGACATTTCTTATATTTTGGAACGTGGCTTAGATGAAGATGCTAAAAATTATCTTGCCATTAACCACGGGAGAAGTTCGTCAAGTTCTAATAAGGACGGCCCTAAATCTCCAGATAACAACATAGTGGATTGGTATTTAGAAACTTTATTAGAAAACTCTTTAATTCTGAGTTTGCAGTGATGATGCATACCAGACAGCTGTAGAGTTGCCTTGCTTGTCCTGTGTTTTGTTTCATTTCTTTGTCCTGATATGAGACTGTGGAAACAGCACCCAGTCCAGATATCAGTCAATGATAAACAAAGATAGCTGTGTGCAGCCACAGCCTGACTGATGCTAGTTTTTTCTTGTGTGTGTGAGTGTGTGTGTGTGTGTGATGTCACAATCTGTCATCCCCTTAAGGTATTAAGTTTATAATTCCAAAATGTGTCTTTTAAGATTTTCCTGTTAAGTTGAATGTTCTAATTTTTTAATTAGCATAACAGCTCACTTAATTCTACACTTGCCATACCTGTGATAACTGTTTAGAAGCTCCATCCAGGGCCAGGATGGCAATAGGGAATTGTGTTTACCAAAAACTTGAATTTGGGTCATCTGCAAATGTTTTGTTATTTGTAAGCAATTATTACTTGATTTATGTAGTATTCCTGTGCCACTTACTCCACAAAAGTGTGTTGAATATGTATAGTTCTGAAGTTCTGATGTTGCCTTCGTAGGATTCTTCTTTAATCAGAGATCTATAAAATTAATATTTGAGGAAATAGGTCATATTTACTGGTATTTGCAATCATGGGGGTAATAATGCCATGATAGGACAATTTGTATTTGTAACAGTCCTGTATTAGTAGAATTCTGCTACTGAAGTTTACAGATTTTAGAGTCACTGATTGAATATTTTCTAATTGTATAAAATTTTCACTAAGTAAAAATGAATTCTTAAAGCATCTGCTTCCTAGAAATAGTGGGAAAACTCCATTTGGAATCTGTCATTGACAATCCTTTTTTTTTTTCCTTAACATTTATGTGTATGAGACTTTGTAAATCACAACATTTTTCAAATGGGTTTGTGAACTTGAATTTTGCTGCCTTTTTTCAGAGTTAATTGAAGAAAATGGTTAGCACTGATTCAGTAGGAGAGATGACTGTGAATCACTCCTGATAGAGACCTGAACGGTGATTAAACAAACAGCAGTAACCTTAAAAATAAGCACTGTTGTCTGTTCTTTCATGATACCTCAATGTCTTATTGGTCATTCCCATTACTCAAAACACTGTTGTATAAGTGATTTAAACGTTTGAAATCATTTTCTCTTTTACATTAGTCATTAACTGGGCAAATGAACATGTTCCTTCCTTTTCTTTCGCAGAATTTTTACTTAAGTACCTTTGCCAGTAACCACATAAAATTCTGAGTCCTGGACTAATGCTTTAAACCACTTGTTGGTAAAAGATGAAAAAGGAAAATGAGAAAGTCTTAATGCAGCAGTGGATTCCTAGATGTGTACTTTCTTTTTTTTTTTTTTTTTTTTTTGAGACAGAGTCTCGCGATGTGTACTTTCTACACCAAGACTGAGTGAACTATATTAGCAAAGACTTTGAATAAGTACCTAAAAATAAGCACATGTTTTTCTTCTCACTGTAGTACATAGAGTACTTTCAGTCTACCTAGAGAGTTCTAAGTTTATTAAGAAAATGTTTATCCTCATTATACTGTATAATTCACAAGTCAGTTGAGTAACAACATAGAAAGCAAATTGCAAGTTCCAAAAACATTAGTATTAGTACTTTAGTGCAACTATGTTGGTCTGAACATCTCTGGGGAAACCTGAAACCTTCAACTGAGTTCCAGATAATGAGGAAACTGCCCTGACTGTTTAAGGGGAAATAAAACAAAAATTGTACTCAAACCTGTGGGGAGAGAGAAAACCTCTACAGGGGCAATAAGGGCCTTTAAGAAAGCAAGTAACGTTCCATTGACTTGGCTTTGCTTTGGTGTTTGTATTATCAGGATTACATAAAATTTAATTCAGTGACTAAAGGGGACAGGAGAGAACTGTTAAAGGAGAATCTTTCAACAGATTTTTTTTTTTAATAAAAATGAACTGAACTTTCAGAGAAGTTTGGTCATATATAACCAAATATGGAACCTGAATATAGAAAATGAAACAAAGATAACAAATGAGTTATGATTGCCTTTTAAACTATAACCATATGAATATTTAAACTATAACCAATGATGAATATTGTTACTGTACCATATAAGCTTTGTTTCCCTAGTTCCTAACAATTTAACTTTTATTCTAGTTGCAACCATAAGGAACCAAATTATATTGCCCTGTGGTCGTCAAATAACTTTGAATATTTCTGTAGGACTGACTCTACCATCTAACTCCAAAATTGTAGAGATGGGTTCTCACTATATTGGCCAGTCTGGTTTTGAACTCCTGGCCTCAAGTGATTGTCCTGCCTTGTCCTCCCAAGGTGCTAGGATTACAGGCATGAGCCACCATGCCCTACAGATAGTTTGCTTCTAAATTGTAACTTTCTAAAGAGCAAAAGCCATCCATTTGAAATTTATTTTCATCAAGTCATGATCGCTTATTATTATCATTCTATATGGAATTTTAAGATACTGTTAACTCTGGAATATATCATTGGCTGACCTTTTGACTTCATAGCTTTTATTAATACCTTTTAGACCTTGTTTACAAGCTTTTAAATCTGCTTTCAGACATTTAGTTTCTTCAGAAATGTATTGTAGGATATTCTGATCTGATTTTCATATGACAAAATTTAAATTCAGAGATTTTTCTATTTTCCACTCCATCCTTTTTAGGTTGTTCTATTATTAAGATTCTGTGTTGGTGTTTACTCTTTAACTTAAATCTCAAATTCATTTGATTCAATAGTTGATGGATAACTAATATTGAAGACTATCTTCAGTCGTTTGTTTTGTATAATGCTTGTGCCTTTACTGAGCTGGTGTTAAAATGCCCCTCTGTACACACACATGCACATAAATAATACAAAGATATACATACATAGTATTTGTATATATTGGTATTAGAGTATTCTTTTTAAAATTTTTATGGGTACATAGTAGATGTATATATTTATGGGATACATGAGATATTTTGATACCCACGTACAATGAGTAATAATATCAGGATGAATGGGGTATCCATTTATCCTTTCTTTGTGTTACAAACAATCCAGTTATGCTCTTTTAGTTATTTCAAAATGTGCAATAAATTACTGTTAGCTGTAATCTAGCTATTATCAAATACTAGATCTTATTCATTCTATCCAACTATATTTTTTTACTCATTAATCATCCCCTCCCTGCCCCAACTACTCTTCCCAGCCTCTGGTAACCATCCTTCTTGTTAAGTGAAACAAGCCAGGCACAG